AAAAAAAATTTTTCGTGCCAAAATTTAAGTTTATAAAACAAAAAATTTTTAGAGAAATATTATTTTTTATAAAACAATTATATTTGCACAAAAAAATATTATTTTTATACAGCATCTTGATTTTTTTTTATATTAATAGCATAAAACATGTTTTTAATTTATGATGTATAAAATATTTACATAAATGCTAAATATAAATTAACGAAATGTCCATTACAGAAATATCCCACTACAATAAATAGTTTATTAAAAACAGAACATGCAAATACATCTACCTTAAGTTTGATGATCGAGAACTCTCAAAGGAATAAAACTCTTACCATCAATATCTTGTTGCCTTCGGCTTCATCCTTTATGTAAGGTCTAACAAGACTGTCTGGTTGCAGAAATCTAGGCGATCGTACTCTCCTTGCCTCCTCATTCAGTTCCGTAGCTCTAAAACGGATTTTAAAATGTAGTTTCCAATATTAATTGTATTTTTAAGATTAATTGTACAATTTATACAATTCCAATTTTCAGTTAATATCTTGCTATTCGTCGATAAAATTATTAAGATTCTTTTTGCTGATGATTAACAGATCGTACCGTCTGACAGCTCCAAAAGAACCACTCGCAAAGTCAATAACACCGGCAGTAGGCCTGGTGACGAGTCCAACGACACCCTTTCCGAATCCTTTAAAGAACCCTTCTACTCCTTCCTCCTTCGCTCCTGATATAGGCTTCATTACCACACCCGTTACACCGTCAACCACGCCCTATCGAACGAAATTAATACATAATTTATACCAAGTAAATTAAAATTAATCTATACATTAATTAATCTACGATTTTACCATTACTAAGCCCTTTCCGCTTCGAGCAAGACCTTCTTGTAAGTTGGCGGGTTGCTTGTTGAGCTGTTCTTGTCTCTTTCGTTGGTAATCCTTATCGAAAGTCAGAGCAGCTATACCTTTGCCTGCAAAAGAAAAAAAATATATATCACAGAAAATGTCGAATGTTACAAGAATTAAATACAATTTAATATCTTCTTGTAGTACAAAATTCCAATACGTGTAAAAATAGAAGTACTGATAATGCATGCAATTTCACAGTTAAATATAATAAATTTGCTTGAATGATACTGAAACATACCCATCGCTCCCGTGATTTTCGATACGGCGCCCGCCATTCCGCCGACGGTGTGGCCCAACATGCTGCGCACCCCGAGAAACAGGCCCTCCGCGAACTCTCCCGGGCCCTGTATGGCCCCTTGGAAGGGTTCGTAGAACAAATCCTCGATGCCCTTCATAGTCCCGACCACAAGCCCGTATGGATTACCGATAACATCAAGTCCTAGCACGAGCACATAGGCCTGCTTGATCGCTTGGCCTGCATAATGAGTGGTTGCCTCGGAGATGAGCTGCTTGTTTGTCATGAACACATAGTTCCTCTCGAAATATGCCAATCTGCAAATTAATAGAAGAATTAAAAATCTCGAAATCTGCAGAAGATAAAAAAATTACGAAGCTCTAAGAATTGAATTCTTAAAATTTAATAAGTTTTGAAAAAGTTCTTCACTACGCTAAGATTACTTCTGATAAGCGCGATAAAAGGACTTTACTTGAACACGATGTCGTTAATATCCGTCAGTGTCACGCCGATTCCTTGCAACAACACGTTAAGTACTTGTGGCATTGCAGAGGGTCCACCTCCACTGCCAGTCATCGAAAAACTGATGTGTATCTGCGAATTAAAAAAGAGATGAGATATCAGGAGTATGAGATGCCGAAGTAAATAATATTTGCAATTTATATTCACAAACCTTAAGCGGCGAGAAGTGCAATAAATCGAAAAAGTTCTTCTGCTCGGCCGTGGTGATCAGGTTGACGTGGTACATGAGTGGTTCATTGACCAGCTTCATATCGGTACGGAATAGCGCACTCTGAAACGAAATAACTGTTTAACTTTCTCTGTCTCTGTCTCTCTCTCTCTCTCTC